TTTTCCCTGATTATTCTTTTAAATGTATGTTTTTTTTTTTTTTTTTTTTTTTAATCTGTGAATCTGTTATGTGCTTGATTGTAATACCGTGGTATGTTTTGTTTGGGTGGGAGTTGTTCTAATTTATTTATTATACCTCAAAGCCGTCAATGATAAGCCATGGAAAGAACTTAATTGGGATAATATAAGCATTCTGGTCCACCCAAAGACACCACTGCATTGGATAGAAATCATAGGGCCAAAGCTTCTGAATTTGTTCAAATGGAAATACTCCGAGTTCTGTGGGCATACCCAATATTGCTGGAAAGTTAAAAGTGTACAATTCCCAATATAACTAGCTGCATGAAGTTTCTGGAATCATTTTCTGTCTGGAGAATGGGTAAGAATATATAAATAGGATGATTGGTTGAATGAATAACATTTACAAGCAATCTGGCTACAGTATTGTCTGAATCAATTGCCCTTGGTAAGATAGATTATGAAACATATTTGCTAAACATAAAAGGCAGTTCAGTCAGTAAATTAGTGGTGTTATATACAACTCCCTCATGTAATGCCTGAATTAGCTTCTTTTGGGACCAAAAAGCCTCTTTCTTTCAGCTATCTAAGAGAGTTTTTGAAAAAAATAAAAAAATATTATTTCCCTTGAGAAATGCATTGCCAACCATGCATGGGGTTCTGATTCACTTCTACGTCATGCTTCATACAATAGCTTCTAAAAGATTAGGCTTGCAACTTGGGAGTCTTTTTGCACAAATGATGTTTATTATAGTAAACACATGTTTTGTTTCGTTATTATCAAAGAGATTAATGCAAAAAGATAATTATTATTTTAGACTAGAGTAATAGATACTTTTATCCACTCAAAAGTCATTTTTATGTGTATTTGAAAGGTTGATAAAGTCTAGAAAAGTCTAATATCGTAATTAGGGGTTAGAGTGAAGTTAGTTCAAATTTTAGGCAAAATTCATTAAATAAAACGCTATGGGTCCACCATTAAACCATTACAGGAGTCTATAAGTAGATGTTTCCTTGTACTTGTCATCAAATTACTGTAGCCTTTCCAAGTTCAATTTTATTTATTTTGTATAGAACATGCTTTCCCTGTTTCTAGGAGTAGACTTCCAATGTTCTTACATATTTCTGATATTTTTTCCTGTTTCCAACTCCATCCTACCTATTGTCCTTTTCTATCAACATCACGTTTCAATTTAAGCACCTGGGCTAAATCAGATCGCTTTAACGAAAAAAAAATGGTTTGTGTCAAAGATATCTTGTTTGCATACAATTAGTTCTGCATTTTCCACTTCTTAATTGATCAAATCACACCCTCTTAATTATTATCCATTATTTTCTTTATTTGATGCTCTGTTTCAGATGCTTTGCTAAATTGCCACAAACTATATAATGCCCATTATAAGCATTATTCATCAGATGTTTTACTATCTAATTCTGTGAATAATGATCTTCCTGTATACTATTTTGCAATCAAATTTGCTACGAACTTTAAGATAATGAAAAGATTTGCCCTGCCATTTTTAATGGATGTAAATTGACTCCTCCAAGCCTATGCTAATGTCATTCTTTGATGTTCTTGGCTTGTTTTGGCAGAGAACCAGTCGTGTGGCTTATCTGTCCAGCAGCCGCCAGAGCAACAAACAGACTTTGCATATAAGAATGACATGTCTAGGCCAGCCGAATCACATGAAGGAAAGATCTCTCAAGCACTTCCCAACAAACAAACACGGCTGTCTCAGCGTGAGGTTATAGAGGTAGACGATGTGTTACCACATGTCCAACTGCTGCCAAAGCAACAAACAGACTTCACATATAAGAATGGCATGTCTAAGCTAGCCGAATCACATGAAGTGGAGATCTCTCAATCTCAAGCACTGCCCAACAAACAGATACAGTCATCTCAGCTCAAGGTTATAGAGATAAGCGATGGCTTACTGATCCAACAGCTGCCAGAGCAAGAAACAGGCTTGACATATAAGAATGACATGTCTAAGCCAGGTGAAACACATGAAGCGAAGATCTCTCAAGCACCGCCCAAAAAACAGATACAGCCCTCTAAGATTCAGGTTATAGAGCTAAGCGATGATGAAGAAGAAATTGAAAAACCAAGTACTACAAAGCTGATTCCTGCT